TTTCGAACAATCGAAACTTAACAGAATATAAAAGCAGCAAATGCTGATATTTATCCTGACATTTCAATCTTACAATCAGTTTCCAAGCAAACGAACGAAGTTTTTCGTTCTAGTTATAAAATTTCATGTCACGCAGGTAATCGTTTGTTCCGATCTTGAATCGTATGTTGTATATTTCGAAAGAAATCACGATAAACCGATAATTCTTTCCACCTTGACAAATTTGAAATTAAAACTGTTACACGCGCTAACGACCATTTTCGGTCCACTTACAGTGAAAGATAAAGAAACCAGTAATTCGAAACGAAAATGAAAACAGTGGACGCAACACACATCCTCATAGTAATTGTTTATTGTTGAAGTGATATAGATATAATGATCCGTAACGTAATTTAACTACAATGAGACAAGTTTTGCAACTAGCAGTGTCGTGTTTATACATGGATTATACAATATGTACAGAAGACCTATGATCGTACAAGCAATACCTTGTTTTGGACAATTTCACAGGATTTGCAATCGAGGAATAGCTGTCGGCCTTTTCGTCCCCCCTTTCCCATCTTTTTTCCATTTATTCCTTAATTAAAAACGACATTGTGCAAGCACGCGGAGAGTCTGTATGCTTCAAACGTGTAAACGTTCTACTTAATTTACGAAACATTTTGAATAGCATATTAACGATTTACACTGATTTTTCTAACCAAATTTCTCTTGCCTTTATACTTATCACGTGTTCCTTATTTACAATATGTATACATATATGTCCGTCGCTCTGAATGGAGACTTTTTGATTTTCCTCCTAAAACTACCCTTTCTAGACTCTTGAACACTCTCTCTCTCTCTCTCTCTCTTTGCATCGGTTCAATCCATTTTCCTTTCTCGTTCTATGTCGAATTTATGTACACACAGTTGGAGTGATCTGGGCAGAATGGAACGTTGTATCGAATCGATTCGTCGTTGCAAAAATCTTGTAATTATTGTAACTGTTTCTTTCACTTTTTTTCCTTTTTCTGCTAAATTGTACTCAACGATAGTTTTTGTCAAATGAACGAATAACCGCCGTACAGGTATATTCTGACCAATTGGTTCCTCGAGAAATAGGCTCGTAGCAAAGCGTACGGCTACACACGTTATATCGATTTAATCTCTGTCGAATGTCACTGTCTAATTTCATTCGTACGAACCATGTTTGTAAGACAAACACACGCACCCTTCGTTATGAATTAATATTACGTTCGCACACTTTCCATACAAAGCTGTTCGACTTATTTTCCACTTGGACAGTTCGCGAACTTTCGTTTACTTTTTCCGAATCTTCAAGTCTCGTTCGTCGATTCTCTCACTGTTTGCTCGTCTTGTTTACGAATTATCATAATAGTTATTGTATCTCGGATAAAGCGGTTCGATGGGATCTCGTTCGATTGGCAAATCGACGTGCGAAAAGCTCGGAGGAAGTACGGTTTAACTGAAAAACTCGGGGCATGAGTTCGGGTTTGTTTCGGGAAAAAAGGAAAAATTTTGCACCGTCTCAGAGACTATACGAATTCCACAGTCTGATTTTCCGATTTTCCTTCTTCGATCGTTTATTCTCAAACACCTTTTCCGTGTTTCTCCTTTCCTCCTGGTCTAAGTGTAAACGTGACAAGTGAAAAAGCGGATGTAATACAATCGTCTAGCAACTTGCATTGAAAAATGTTCACGTAACGAAACTGTTAAACTTTTCTCTGGTATTAGGAAACTTTCGAACTGACATCTTCAATTTAAACGAGCCACTTTGAATAGCGTTTTGGTCGATGGAGAACCATCGTCTTTTTTCTCTTTCCTTCAAGAGTCCTCGAATCGACGGAGTTTTCAAGAAGTTATCCTTAAATTAGTTAAAAATCAGATAAATTACGCGAAGTGCTATCTGGACACAGGTATGCTGCTATCGTTACTTTTTACACATTTTTACACACGTATCGTATCTTGCCTATTATTATTATTATTCTCGTTATTGTTATATTTATAATTATAATACTTATTGTTATTTTTATTGTTATTATCGTTATCACTATTACTATTATTATTATCGTTATCGTTATTATTATTACTATTATAATTATTATTATCATCATTATCGTTATTATCCTTTCTTTCTTCATATACCATGGTTAAACGTGAGAACATACAAGAAAGCCATTGTACACGAATATCGCTATTCGAGTATAAATGTGTGCGACCGATTGCACAATCCACGATACGTACTATCTGTACCTGCATTTTTCAAATCGGCAGATTTTTCGAACGCATGACAGCAACAGTGCGGTTCAAACAATTCATTTCAGATTTTTCGATTTTTTATCGTTTTCGTCCGTTATAAGCTTGCGTAATATCGATAACAGCCAATAATGTTCGTTCCGTCAACTAATTGAGATTACCTTCGATTTGGGCTTTGCACGATAATCCAACGGGTAATCGTTTAAATAACGAGACAATTCGTCGTGATGTCGAATTTCATGCGGCGATACAAACAATGCGAAATAGCGTTCGATGGAAATGTGCGATGAAAAATGATACAAGAAATTTTCGATACTTTGCACGAAGCGTTGGACTCGATGGAAACTGAAATATTCATCGACTGCGAATAGAAGACGTCGTTCAAGTGGAACGTGGTAAACAAGTTTCTACGTATCATTCCGTTGATGCAATTACCAAATCGTCGAATGTATTCGCCTTCACTTTGTGAACGTTAGCGAAAAGTGACGGGAAAATAATGGAACAATTAGCATCTGCCGATTCGTTGCGATTTGTACCGGTAAAATTTGCCAAACGAAATTCGAAGGTGGGTGTTGCGTACAGATTTTCCGTACTATTGCCAGAAAATTTATTGTTAGTCATTTGCTACATCTTCGTTATGTCCTTCGATCATGTAACGATCTCACGTGTACCAACGTAACGGTAATGAAAATGAAACATTGCCAAATGATAATCGAACGTCGCGTCGTCGACGTGTGAGATTTTTAGCGAGAATCGAGAAAAAAGAAATTGGGGAAAAGTTGCGATTTTACTGTGCGGTTGAGTAAATTCAAGAAAGGGGGCGGCGGGGACAATAGTAGAAAGATAAACATCTCTCGGTTTCCATATAAAAAATGCACGATATCGAGATTACAAATAACTATGTATTGTCTATTCGAAAGGAATTGAAGTGTTGTTTCTTTCTTTTTTTTTTTTTTTTACCGAACGACGACAGTTCAACGAGGCCTCAGACCTATCGGGCAAAGATTCGAGATCGATGGGTTTTCGGGGGAACATAAATTCGACGTCGACTGTGTCTTTCCATATAAAAAAACGACGGGACACGTTGCAGTGCGTGCTGTACATCGAGTGTAAATAATAATACTATGATACAAAGTATAAGTACATTGGTTTAAATGATTGCAGGCTGCTCCTCTCATATCACAGCGAGGGCGCTGCCGGGCCCGCTTCGAAACTTTTAAAAACGACCTTCTCTCTCTTGGAAAAAAAGAAAGCGACGCATATATACTCGCACCTGTATACAATTTCGCGCACTCATACCCTTTCGCACCGATAGAATATTTTACATTTATATATTTATATATTTATATAACCGATATACATGTACATATACACGTATCGTCTTGTACGTGTATACCGTATATATATATCGTCTTCTTTCTTTATGTATATATTTATATCTCGCCGTACAGAGTGTGTCGTGTAATTCGGCGATCTCGGTGTGCAACGCTGTGTAAGATAAAATCTCTCGGGTAGTTGATAAAAGTGTGGTCGAGATGAGAAATTTCTAAAGTTGACCTATCCTAAACCGATACCGAACCGTTTTGGAAGCATCGACGTTGCGCCTATTCCCGAAGAACAACAAGCCTACTCGAGATCGTCCGATTCTTACACGAGACACGTTGTATCAGATTCATTTACAATAATAATAACATACGATAACCCTAAGTGAGGTGACCATCACTGTCGCGCATGGACGGTCAGAGTATGGAGGGCCGTGTCGTCGCGGCGCCACGTGTCTTGCGGCCGAACGGCTCAGTCTAGGCACCGCGTCCGTCGGTCCCTCGTGCGAAAGCACACGTCGCAGGGGGTAGAGTTGTGAAGAGAGGCTGGCCGTCGGAGTCGGCGAACCGCTGGGCGTGAGACCAGGTGCCGGATTAGTCGGTCCCCTCGAACGCTTTTAAGACTAGTGTGACAATAGGAACATGGTGTCTGCTCTGGCTCAGGGGAACAGGAAGGATATGTCGTCGGATCTTCGGCTTTCGAGTCCTTCGGTTCGCGAAATGCTCTCTCTTTCTCACTTTCACTCTCACTCAATCTCTCTCTTTCTCTCACTTTCACTCTCACTCTCATTCTTTCTCACGCACACGCTCTCTCTCTCTCTCTCTCTCTCTCTGGCTCAGTATGTGTGTGTTGTGTGCCTGTGTAGCAGCCAGGACGGAGTTCAGTCGCTGAAAACGTGAAGCTCCGAGAACGAAGGATATGTGTTGCCGGTCAAGGTTCATGTGGCCAGTCCTTCACCTCTGGCCGCCGGGGGTGGCGGAAGTCGGGCCGAGGGTGGCGTTGCGTTACCCTCCGACCTGGCGGGTGGCTCCCTGTCGAAATGGTGCTGAAGAGTGTCGCCTGTCCACGTTGGTACACCGGCGCTGTTCTGGTTGCTGCCGTTCGACGACGGCGTGCCAGGAGAGTGGGACGGCGACGGTGTCTGGAAGAGCATGGAGCCGGACGGGATTGAGGATTTCCCATCGAGCAGTGGCCCGTTACTGGTCGCGGCCATTGCCTGCTTGTCTAGGGGAAACCCAGCTCCGGCCGCGTACACTGAGCCGAATAATCCTGCGTACTTTCCGGTAGGAACCGAGTGGCCTGGTAACCCGTTGTTACTTTGAATCACCGAGATCTCGTTCAGCTGTAAGTAATGCACGCTCTCTGGTTAGGTATATTCGGGGACAATTACCTACGAAAATGAAAGAAAGAGTAATCGTTAATCGTGTCGGTCGCGCTACGAGCCGCGATGATTTTCGTTGTTTCTTTCTTTTTTTTTACAGTATCGATACTGGGCTAACTCTTTAATTTCTAGTGATTTTCTGGTTAATTTACTAGGTCGTCCAGTAAGTTTATGCCGCATTGCGTTTGTAATTTTCACGACGTGTTCTGTATTTCAGCGAGACGTCTATAACTCTTAAATCGGAATAAAGCGATTTTTCACTAGGACAGTGCCGGACCGCGTATAGCACAAAACGTGCAACAGAAATTACATGAATTCGGTGGGAAAATTTGGTCACACCCAATATATTCTTCAGATATTGCTCTGTCATATTACCATCCGTTTCGTGCATCAGTAAGAAATAACATTGAAACATATTTTAATGAAAGACCGAGGAACTTTTATAGTGACGGCGTAATAGCTTTGCTAAAAAGATGAGAAGAAGTTGTGGAACCAGAGGGTGACTATACGTCGTTCAAAATAAGAGTAACCTCGCTCTCGGACCGATTCTCGTCCGTTCTGCGCATAGACAGAGAACGTAGCAGAGGGTAAGACGGAGAAAAACGTAGGCGGTTAAGTGGGGGTTTGGACGTTCTAGTGGTTCTAGCCCTGCCTTAGGCACGTCCCATGCGCGAAGCGAGGTTACTCTCATTTTGAACGGAGTATACATTCTTTCGTAGCATTTAAAGGTACGTTTGAAATAATGATCTAAATGGTACATCGATAAACGGCACGAACTTATTGGACGACCTAGTACGAAGCCTTATGCAACTTCTTTTCTCAACGGAATTTTTATTCATCTCCTTTGTGCACTTTGGTACTACACAAATACATGTGTATACACTACCAGGTAAAATTTTCGGGCCACTTGCCAATTTGGGTACATCAATATTGAATTTGCTACAAATTTCTGATAGATTTGAAATTGTACGTTGCGAAGATCAACATGGCAATTTACTTCGTTTCGATTGATTCGAGTGATAGAAACTTAGTTAAATAATTCTCGAAGTTGCGATGAACTTGTAACGAACGATCCCAAAATTTTAGCGTATAAAATGTGTTCAGCGAATAAATCGGCAAACTTTGCCAGCATATTCGATAGGTTATTCTAAGAAGAAACATCACACGAACTTCAACATGGTCAATTCAACTATGCCATCGAGATATGGATCGATAGGAATGTTTTTTTTATGCTTCGATTTTCTCGAGTGTGTTTTAAATGGAAAGCCTGAAACACGTGAGCAATTGATAACTAACATCAGCGTTAGCAATGATCTGGCCGATATTCAGTGGATGCGGTCAACGGAAGCACGCCTACTTGCTTGCGTAGAGGCAGCAGGTAGACATTTTGAATAATACGTATAAATATCAGTGCAATATGTCAGTGTCAAACACAATTTCAGTGTAAGATAAAACAAGTAATCATGCAAATGTTAAGTAGCTAGAATACGTCTGATTATTTACGGCTTGTATCAATAAACTTTCCACATCTCGAGAAAGAAAACGAATTGGTCCACGGTGTATGTAATACCTTTTACTTGTAATAACATTTTCAACACGCTGGCAAAGTTTATCGGTTTATTCGTGGAATACTCTGTATATACAATACATACTTATGTATGCTCTTTTCTGGCATTTACTTTGATTAATATAAGTAACGAAGAAAAATGTATTGATTTTGTAGCCTGTGCCTTTAAAGTATTTTCAAAATTTACAACGTTACTGTTACCGTTTTGCACGATAGTTGTACTTTTTCTTTCTCTCGATTCACCGCGCTTCGTTTAGTTCACAATATTCTGCGTAATACAAATTGCAAAAATATGAAGTATCTACACTTCTTTGATACTTTTTCTTTTTACGTTTTGAAGCACTAGGATTTGAAATTATCACTATTACAAGTTATTTTATACCAGTTTGCATACTATTTATCTACATTTATTAAAATTATTAAGCTGCCTCTTCATGGAATGTTCATAGCGTGATGCATTCGTATGTTTTCTAAGTTCGCATACGAATTATCGTTTGTCAAATAGGACGAAAGATTGCATCGAAGATTATGTAATACTTTATACTAAAAAAAACCAAGAGTTACGATGAATTTTTAAAACCCAGTTCAAAAGTAAGGTATTTAAATACAGAAGAATGGTACTTGCGTTGCTTTCCTACTATCTTCACCTTCTTTCACGTTTATCTTGTTTGAATAGTAAGTCGTAAGCAACATGTTTATTCGTTTAATGAAAGTTTTATCTTTGTAATTGTGTTCTTTAGCGATGCGTGTGGCGTAAAACACATAAGTACACATTATTCACTGACAGTTTTACGTCATAAGTTTCTTGTCTTCTCTTAAAACAACATTGCAGTATCTCAACTTATATTCTTAAATTATAGTACGTTATACTTTTCAATTTCATTTTAGACGACATTCGACACAATTGTTTAGAAACAATTTCCCATCTATGAGATTAACTCGTTATTCAAATACCGGGTCTGAAGTAATTGAGGAGATTTCTGGAAAAAGAGCCCGTAGCGCATAAATTAAGTAAAAAGCATTGAAAGTTTCAACAAGTGCCCTGACCTTTATTGATGGAAAATTGAAACGAAATTTGGAGAGAAGATTTCTAGACATGTAACGGTTAATTAACCCTTAACGCGCCACCATACTGGCTTCCCGCCGGATGATCTTTTGAACGAAACGCCATTATAATGGCCACTGTAATGTGATACGGAAATTATAGACGTTCGATTATTTTTCTGATACTTTTAGATTGAATATAGGATAACGTTGATATGACTAAATACATAGCTGAAGGCATCGAAGCATCATGGTTCTGATATCATTGATATGTCGCAGTGTAAAAGTTTAACCTGTTCATAGTGTTCACTTCTCAAGTAGGAATTTATCATCTCTAGTTTACTAATTACTTCATTTTCGTTCTTGCAAACGTGAATATGACGTATTTTATATTTAATACAAGCATAACGATACAGTTAAAGATGACTAATCCCTCAGTAAATAAACTATTATGTTGTAAGTATTTGTGAACCAATGATGAGTTGACAAGAGTAGGTGGACCTATAGGTCTTTCCTCCAGAAAGTTCCTCAATTTCATTCGAAGGATTTGTACGTGTATCGTAATTATCCAACGATAGACGAACGGTTATCAGTAGCTTCTTCCGACATGTCGGAACAAAGAACAAAGAAAATCTCAAGGTAGCCACTTACTTTCTGCTGCACACCGTTAAGGAACGGCGCGGGTAGATAAGGATAGAAGAGATCCGGCCGTCGCTGAAGGAACTCCGAGTCCTTGGGGGTGATGGGTAGGGGAGGCAGGTCCAGCGACATTCGCCGACCTCGCCGTGACGCTCCGTTGGTCCACATATGAGTGCCCATGTGCACCTGCGATCAGAAGGTACGGCCATGTCTATCAATATGACTATTAGGGACGTTTGACGACGGTGCTAATCTTTCATCGAGCTTGTCTATTGTTTATTTTGTTTGTTTTGTACGTCCGCGTCAGCGTTAGTACAAGCGGTAGCAGCTAGCTAGTGTTAGTGAGTGATCTCGAAGAATCCGGAGGCATGGGAAAGCGGGACCAAAAGAGAGAAAGAGAGAAGAGGAGAAGGTGAGAGATAAAGGAGAAACAGGGAGGCTGAAAGAAAGAAAGAAAAAAAACAGAGAAACATACTGAGAGAGAAGGATAGAGAGAAAGAAAGAGAGAGAGAGAGAGAGAGAGGAGGAAGGAGAGAGTGAGAGAAAGAAAGAAAGGGGAAATATGACGTGTATACCTTGAGGTTGCCCTTGGTGGTGAACGCCTTCTGGCAGACGGTGCATCGGAACGGTTTGTCGCCTGTGTGAGTTCTCATATGGATCTGGAGCGCCGAAGATGAGGAGAAATTCTTATTGCAAATCTGGCACAAGTGCTTGCTCGGCATGCCTGTAAATACACATACAGTTTCGCTGTACAGACCCTGACACAAGTTTAAGGGAGAAGGTACTGTGAAGCTTGTCCCCCTTTCTTCGAGGGGAAAAGTGTGGTTGGTTCGGTGGCTCGTGGACCAAGGGTAGAGCTTGTTATGTACGCTCGAAGCTTGGTCCGCGCGGTCGTCAGACGGAAGACGAGAGAGACGAGAGGGTAAAAGGAGGAGCGCACCTGCTGCCAAGGAGCGCGTGAAAAGAAACAGCGTGGTGCAGAGAAAGCACAGGCGTGCAAGTAAGCGAAGCCGAATAAACACTCTGCTGCTTTCGGTAGAAGCTCGGATGCGAGATCTGCTAGCGAAACAGTTCAACCTGCCAAGCGAAGCCTTGGACCGTTCGAATTATGCTCGATGAAGAAGCAGACTGAACAGATGTTTTTCAATCGGTTTCTGGCTACTTACTGGCTGGTCTCTTTGGTGCTGGCAGTTCCCCCTCGGGCGGGGATCTCTTCACCGAGATGCTTTGCTCCATCGAGGTCGGTGGCATCGGCGGAGGAGGCGGAGGAGGTGGCGGGGGCGGTGGTAAGCTCGAATCTTCCGCGCACATCGGACTTCTCGAGGTTTCGTGATCCTGAGGCTGCTGTTGGTGTTGCGGCTTTGAGTCACTGAACAGATGGGGCGGCATGTCGCGGATTTTATGAGTTAGCATATGCTGCTTCATATTCCCCTGTAAAATAGAAAATAACACTTCATTCGTTATCGCGGACCAGACAGCCATCAGTTCAATCACTTCATCGATTACACCACTCTGCATAATTTATCGCGTTTCAATGTTCTCGATAACTGCTGCAAAATATACAAAAATTCCTATTCCCTGTGGATATCGGGGGATAAGTATGGTACATATGTACAAGTATATATACTATACATAATATATGATACAATGAACAGATGAACACAAACAAATAGCGTCCTGCTTAAACGAATTACATTTCGTTTGTAAAATTTTCATAATTCCCACGAACTCGGCCCAGCAAACGCGAATCGAAGTTATCACTCAGCACGAAAATGACGAGACGTGTGTTCGAAATACATAGTGGTGTTATCATAGGTGTTGTTTCATTGTCAAAATTCAGCAGGCTCTTACCAGGAGGCCGTGCGCTGAGGGTAGAAGTCCGAGGGCGGGTGACATCAGCGGGGGTAGGCGGATGGCAGGATAGACAGGCGTCAGCCCCCGCCCCCCTCCGGCTCCTTTCCGCCCCCGGCTCTTCCGTTCCTCAGGTCGCCGCCGCCGCCTGCGTTTCGCTTTTTCTCGACTACTGGCGCACGCTGATTCGTATTGAGGATCGGGTGAAGTGATCGAACTGTTTGCGGGCAACGGTTGAGACGCACAGACGCATGCTTGCTGCCCGGAACCATCGTTCTGAAAGTATCGTAGAAAAACAAAGATACAGAGCTGACCTGAACGAAGCCAGGCTTGGATCGTGACCATTGATATTTTTTGCAACAACAGACGAACTTGAGATTATGTATTTGCATTGCGTATCGCGGTTACTTTGATAAAGAAAAAACTATAAAGCTTTGTGTTGGCAATGCTTTACTTCAATATATTTTGCAACTAATTACACAACGAAATACGTATGCTCGTTAAGGAGGTTATAATGAAGGAATCGTGCAATGACTAGATCGCATATTCGTACTTTTATGAGCAATTATTGTACACTAATTTCTTGTTTATGGAAAGATTAATGGAAAATTGTGCAACAGTGAACACTTCAAGTTTACGTCTGACAGATTTAATAATATTCGTAAGTATTACAAAAGGAATCAGTATTATTGTTTCATTAGTTTTACGATAGTTAATGGAAGTATATTGGAAAACAGAAAGGTATGCCAGTTACTTGAAATTCCAACGATATACGAAATAAGATATTTTAATTCCGAAAGTTTTGGCTAATTACCAAAAGCAAATCAAACTGAAACTCTTTACAAAATTTGATGTTCTTCAACTGAAACTAGAATGATAAGAACGTAGCGAAAATAAACGCTGAGGCGAACTATAAAGAGTCTGGCAGTTTTTAAATATCAACTACGTATAAAGTTGAGTAGAAACATCCACCGAGACGACGTGAATATAATTCATGAAAATTGTCGACACTGTTAGAAAATGATGGTGTTTGCAATTTTTCCAATATATTCCTTATTCTGTTTGTGGAAATTAATTACACTGAATCATAACGATGTTTTCTGTTTATTAAATAGCTACACATTCTAGTCATTGTAGGATTCCCCTCGAATTCGTTTGGTGAGCAGCAAACAATTCTCAGACTGAAGGCGTCCAATTCGATCCTCCCGATCCAATTTAAAAAGAATGTTACGTTACCTTAGTGGAAAAGCCTCTGTCGCATATGGTGCATTTGAAAGGTCGCTCTTTCGTGTGGCTCCGGTAATGGATCTCCAGCGCGGAATTGCACGCAAATGTCTTGTAGCAGATATTACATGTGGTGTTTCCACGCACTGTAACAGATCGTACTTCTTTACAATTGCTTTCCGACACTTTCATATGCTTCTACCGGCCGTGAAAGCAATTTGTAATCACGATTCGAGCACATACTACTCATCATGAACGCAAGAAAACGGACTGGTCTAATCGTGAAATGCGTGAACGCCGGAGTAACACTCGTAGCGCGAAACATCGGAACTCAGAAACTGATGGTTTTACGCGCGCGGCTGGCTCGATAATAGCATTTAGAGTCATGGTTTCTTGGCAGTTTGACGGAAGGAATGAAATGAATCGTACAGGCAGCAATCCATTTTTCAAAGAAATTTATTTATTTATTTATCAAATATCCATAGTTTCGACCTTTCCTTACGCAAAAAAGGAATACAAAACTAATATTTGTGCACGCAAACTTTGGATCTTCCGTTTTCTGTTCTTTTCTGTTTTAAAGAGAAACCCATCGAGTGACTCGAACTATGTGAGAGAGAGAGAGAGAGAGAGAGAGAGAAAAGAGAGAGAGAGAGAAGAGCGAAGAGAGAGCAAAGAGAGAGAGAGAGAAATAGAGAGCGAGAGAGAATACCGAAGAAAAAGGTGTACAAACAGATAATAAAAAAGAGTCAAGCGGGAGGGTAGGAGTGCTAGGTCCGGCTACACCACAAACAGGATACGTCGATATACAGCTTGGATAAGGTGGACGAATCAGTCAGATTGGCGGTGAGGATCAGTGAATCGTGTCAGATCGATCGGAAGGTGTAGCAGGAACTGCAGCTCGCCCTGATGCTAGCAGCGCCTACCTGCTGGCCCTCCGACAGCCAGGCCGAGCGGGTTGTAAGTCGAGGTGGCAGCCAACACGGCTGACGTGGTCAGGGAAGCCAGGGGCCCAGAGGTGCCGCCTCCCGGAGTGGCGGCGTTCATCGAGCTCAAGCTGTTTATGCTCGACGTTCCGATGCTGTTGGAAGAGGGCGATGACGAAACTGCCTGCAGCAGGCCTGCGAACATGCCGAACGGATGCGGATGGTGCACGGTGGCCTGTGGGGGTGGCGTGGGCACCGACGCCACCGAAGCCGGAGTGGAGGACGCGCGAGGCGTTAGGTCCAACGGCGCACCGGCGTTCGGAGGACTGTTGCTTTTCTCGCTGCCGTTGTAGCGGTGGAAAAGCGGCGATCTGGCCATGTTTCCCACGGTCGACGTAGCCGTCGTCGTGATCGTTCGCACTTGGTTCTCCAGAGCGGCGAGGGATGTGGAGAAGCTCGGCAGACAGACGTCTTTATGCTCGTTTTCATCGCTCTCGCGATCCTGCTCGTCCTCCACGTCAACGCGGCTGTCACGATTCACGTCGCACCTCTCATCCTCCTCCCTACGGTCCTCATCCTCGTCATCCTGATCATCCGCTTCCTCGCTGTGCTCCTCGGTATACCTCTGTTGCTGTTGTTGTTGCTGTTGATGCTGGTGGTGCCGCTGATGCTGTTGATGCGGCTCGTCCTTTACATCTACATCGTTTTCCTGAGGATGTCGCTCGAGTGTTTGCTGGCGAGTTGGAGGGAAGCCTAACGGGAAGCCCGCTCCGGTGGGATGAATCGGTGGAAAGCCCTGAGGGAGAAAGGACGCCAACGGATGGTGTGGATAACCTGGTGGAAACTCGTTCACCTCTCCGGCCTGGATTTGTTCTGGACTGAGTTCCGTTGGCTCGCCGGTGTGCAGCCGTATATGCTGTTGCAGGACCAGTGCGTTCGTGAACTTCTTGTGGCAGACGGGGCACTGATGCAGCACCCTAAGTGGCGGTTTCGCCCTGTGCACGCCCATGTGAGTCTTCAAGTTGCCCTTTGTGGTAAACGCTCGACCGCAAATCTTGCACTTGAACGGACGCTCGCCCGTGTGGGTCCTGTAATGCATCTGCAGCGCGCTTTTGCACGAGAGCACCCTGTGGCAGATCACGCACTGGTTCGGATCGGTCAGTTTGTGTTCAATGTTGTCGACCAACTGCTGCAACTTGGACGTTTCCGAGGTCTTCGTTATCTCGATCAAACTTTCCCAAGAGTTGTCGTTGCTACCTGGTCGCGGTAACAGGCTGGAATAGATAGCTGGGTCCTTGGCCGGGTCGATCATCTCGCTGGTCGAAACTGCAGCCGTGTTTACAGCCGTTGAACCAGTATGATGAGGTATTTGATGATGCGCGGGTGGCCCTGGGAACAGAATTCCCGCGAAGGAGGTTTGAAGGCTTCCACTGCTCGCACTACTGCTCGCAGGGGAGGCTCCGGGATATGCGATAACGTGCTGAGGCAAACGATTTATTGTTCCTCGACTGGACAAGTTTTCAGGTTGCTCCTCGATCTCCTCGTCGACTTCCATGTCGGCGTCTCCTTCGAGGCGTCCGCTGATCTTACTATCCATACTACAGTCTTCGTAAGTTTGCGGTTGAGAAGGTGGATTGGCAGAGGATTGGGGTGAATTTAAATACCGTCTAGTCGTTTCCTCGAAATCCTCGCTCTCCTCTTCGGTGGGCTCCTCTGCCTCCTCCGGTTCTTTCTTCGGGGTTATCCTCTCGGTGGCTTCCTGACTCGTGGGCCGTTGTTGATACGGCTCCTGCATAGGCGACCGCTGCTCGAGCTTGATCTCGTCCCTCTGTTCGAGTTGCTGCTTTTGTTGTTGGTGATTGTCGTGAAAGGAATGACGAGAGTTCGACAGAACCGCGGGGGAATGTGGGGACGTGGTCGGGGCAGTGGTAATGGGCTTACTCAGGTTCTCCGGCACGTCCTGATCGTCCCGATGAGCGACAACCGGCGATCTATATAGGGGCGGCATACCAGGAAGGGCTAAACTGAGTGGCAAGGGCGGTTGAGGAGGTAAAAAACCGTGCGCCGCCGCCGGGTGAAAAGAGGGATGGTGAGAAGGCGGCGGTGGCGGCGGGGACGGCATCGGTCTCTGACCAGAGGCGATTTGCTGTAGCAAGGGTGGATGGTACTTGTCCAGGTGTTCCGGAACGGGATTCGGGTTCATCTTAACATGTGGAAACTTGGCCGTATGCCTCTGGAAGTGGACCTTCAGGTTCCCTTTCGTGGTGAAGCGGCTGCCGCAGACGTTGCATTTAAAGGGTCGCTCACCTGTGTGCGATCGTATGTGGATCTGAAGTGCCGAGTCGCTGCCGAACACCTTGCCGCAATAGCGGCATCGATGCTTGAAGAACGGCTCCCCCCGACCACTACCGGACTTTGAATCGTATGGGGAGAGGCGGGAGCCTTTTCCGCCCCTGAATGCCAGCTCGTCGGCCAAGTTGTTTGCCAGCAGTCCCTGGCTAGCGTTGTCCAGCACCTCCTGGGCTCTCTTCTGCAGCATCTCCAGTGTGTTTGGCTCGTGCAACGGCGGCGGATCGGTGTTGGTTATTATCGACGAAGCTAGGGAAGAACTGATCGAGCAGAGCGGTGGCATCTGATGGGACATCGGCACTTGGCTACTGCTGCTAGTAGTCGCGGTTGTGCCCGTCGTGTTCGACGAAGCCAGCGGAAGACTCAACGGGGAAGCGCTGCTCGTTGGCGTAGGCCGTTCCTGAGGCAGGTTTGGCGTCATGGGAGGTGGTGTGGTTTGCTGATGACTCGGTGGACGTGACGACGGTGGCGACGTCAGACTCGACAGAGGCTTAGCTTGGATGATTGGAGATGGAGATATTTCTTTGCTATCCGACGGCTCGCCCGTAACTTGCTGTTGCGCCGACTGACCATGCGTAATAGATAGCTGCTGTTGCAACTGACTGATCAACTGCAACTGAAACACTTGCTGGTGCTGCAGGGTATACAAGGTGCTCTGCAACAGTGCCAAATCCTGCAAGGCCGCTTCGCTGTCCGCTCCACCGGCCAACGCCGTCGCTGCGAACTGAGCGACCGCCACTTTCGTGTTCTGAAGAGCTTCCAAGGTGACGTGACTAGTTCCAGCTGGCGGGAATAGCCCGGCAGGCGCGCCGCCCTCCACGAAATTGTTGTTGTTCTCAGCATCCTGTCTGTGACGGATTTGTTTCCGTGATCCTTCCTCGTCCTCCTCTTGATCGTCCTGCTCGTCCACACCTTCCTCTTCATCTTCCTCCAGACCATCTTCCTGATCTTTATCGTCTTCGTCACCCTGATGAGACCTGGATGCCGTAAGATCCACTGCTTCGTCTCCACCAGCTCCTCCCCCTCCACTTTCTTCACCATCTGACATAAAGTCATTTTCTTCTCCTGTAACACAACGTTGTTACCACCATTAGCAACATGTTTCATATATTCATTTTAGATTGTATTTACTCGGCGGACGCGACGATGCAAACTATTTTTTGCGATTGCACGAATAAATATTTTTTCATTTTCAATATTCTAGAGTAACAGGTATATGTCGGGATATGTAACATTGTATCACGAAATTCCGATAGAATACATTCACCTACGTTTCGAATAAAATTTAGATAGCAACATTTCAACGTAACTGCAAAATTTCAAGGCTTTCGCGTAGAAAGGAACGGCGAGAGTCGATGTATTCGAAGAGCATTTTGTAGTATTCTTTTGCAACGCGTATAATTCAGTTCTCTAAATGAAGACTGACAAACTTGAATCGCATTACATTATTCAATTTTTTCTATCTTTAATCACGAGAGATACATGGAAGCCAATTCGAGGTTTGCAATGCCTTCTGTGTCGCAAAGGGGATATCAACGCGAAGAAGCCATGCCAGTTTCATTTGTATTCAACGTTTAAATCATTTGTATGTATCGTGCTAATGACAGAAAAAATGAATAAAAAGCGTCGTTCGTTTGAGATACTGTATGTTCTATGAATTTCAAACAGTTAATCATGTTACCGATGCAACGAGAAGCATTTGATGAACGAACTGTACATATTAAAAGAACTAAATGGCACGTTTTGAAACGCCAAGCAAACGATATGCATTATTCTTCCATGAATCTAAATTGGCTTATGTACTTTTATAATAATGTGCTGAGAAAATTTGGATTTCAAATGAATACTTATTAAATAAGAATGAAAAAGTATTTAAATATTGAAATTGTCGTAGTTTCAAAGATGCACAAAGGTTTCAAACTACTGCAAATTGTTTGTAACAAATGAAAAAAATGATGAAATTGTAGAAACGCTTTATTCATAGAACATTACAAATTAAACGTATTTACTTTCTTTTGCAACAAGAAAAGTAGCTATTTACAATAATTTTCATTTTTCGTGAAATTGTTACATGGATCGTGCCTAACAATTTTCGTTACTAAAGGTAACGTCCAAGACCCGGATTTCGATACTTTGCAATTGTAGTGTATCAACGTATTGTCAGACGCAGCAGTAAAGCATTTTATTGTTCGAACGTGACAAATATAGTGTGCGTTCGCGAATAAATTGCGTTGAATCTATTGTAAAATTCAACGAACTATGCTACGATCAGTAATAGAAGCACATCTGATGTTTTTAGTTGCCTCCGTGTTCGCAGTGTCTCCTTCTCTTGTATATGACTCGAATAATATCGTTATGAATAACTCATGAAAATACTCTACGAACCTAACATTGACAATCGGGCAATCGACATGAAAAACAATTTCTTACAACGCCTGGTTCGTTACATCTTCGAAATATAAGATCGCGAAGAGATATTCATTTGACATGTTAAATGTTTACACGACGTTTCAATATGTACACGCTCAAATATTCAGAGAAGTCGAGTATCTTTAGTTATTTGCAAATGATTTAAAAATTCAGTATAATCAAAATTACCGTGAAAAGTGTTCCTGACCTAGTTGCTTTCGTCGGAAAATAGTAAAAGAATTTACCATAGAAGCGACACATATTCGCCAAAGATCAACGTCTCTTTAACAATCAGAGGGATGACCTTTTGAAGATCGAAGTTTCCAAGATAACGTCACTCTAGGAATGGTCTAACGCGTGAAGATGAAAGCTCATAAGGTTTCGCTTCACGATTGAAGTAGTGGCCAAGGCTGGAACGGGATGCGAACGCTTGGCAGGTCGAAGCGTAATAGTTAAAATGTACAATGTCGCAGTGAAACCGAGGCAGAATAGTAAATCGCCGTCGCTCCGATTTTATTTACCACACAGGTTTATCGACATCGATCACGATACATACGTGCCAATACACGCGGACCCACGAGGCAGTTGAAGCGTAAGAAACTTGAGGTAAAAGAAAAAAGAAAATAGAGAGAACCACGTTAAAACGAGCGCAACAAAGGCCCCCGGAAAGGATCGCGTAAACTTAAGTGTCAATGATAAGAAGCAGCGACGCGGTGATTAGTATTCCGCAGCACGGCATGTGAAACCCGCACCGTTGGAAACTTTTAATACGCGTAGTCGGGGCCAATGAAAAATGGGAATCGCGCAATTACTATTCCCAACGGGCCAGCCAGATCCGTTCAAAGCACACCAGTTAACGTTTCACTCGCCACCGAGGCGACCTCACCACTGATTCACTAGAGAACACGAGTTGACCTCCAAATTTCCCAACACTGGTCGAACGAAAGCGTGAAAGTGGGCGCGCGCTCGCACGCGCGAAAAAGGGAGATGATCGTTGCGTCCGGCGAATTAGCGGGGCCAGATAGAGGTGCCGAGATGCGTTCAAGGTCAGCATTGGAATCGTACCGGAAGATCGGGGCCACGAGAGTCTGGAGGGCCTGCAGGTGCCCTGCTTGATCCCCCGGCACTCGAGGCGACGCGTGATGCTCCATCTCATGAGCTGCATGTCTCCTCGGGTCCGCGGAGGAGGCTCGTGAGTAGCGCCAACTTGCGGTGGCGCGTGAAAATTGCGCTGCGTTTCGGCCGGACGTCCGCGTGTCGACCGGTGTCATCCGGCAAGGACGAGAACCGACTGATCGCTTGGTAAAGAGCCGGCCTGGGCGTAGGTACCGTCGCGCAACGTCACGCGTCACCCTTTCCCCCACTGCGCCGCCTTCCCGCCCCACCGCGCGCAAGTCTGTACACTCGGTTATGACAAGGAAGGCGGCGCGGTTCATAAATCAGGGGGTAAGGGGCGGGGCCTGCGCGAACCACTCAGCGGCCGGTTATTAATTATTATACAGAGGTAACCCCTCTCCTTGGTTCCACCTACGTCCCGCAACTTCCGGATCTACGGCGCTGCCTGCGAACCGGCCACCGAGAAAACACACGTTCAACGCGTTCCGCTTTTGATTTTCTTCCCCACTCGAGCTTGTCTTCGGCAGACGAAAAGTGTGAATTCAAAGCACCCGATAGGGCCTCCTTAATTCTCTGGAATGCGTCTAGACACCTCTTTTCTTCTCCTTTTTCTTTTTCCTTTTCTTTTTAGAAGGAATTCTTGATTCTTAGGCGACACTTAAGTCTCGAAAACCTAACGGTAGTAGAGCTATATATACCTTTTTTTTCGAGAAGTGCTGCCACAAGAGTGTTTCAAATATTAGGACGATAAAGTGTCTTTTTATTCTCGATATTTTAAACGATTCTTAACATTGTTTTTATTAGTCACAATTTGCAGGTTAGTTTTCCGAGATTACGGTTTTCTTTAAATTGCTGAACTACCTTTATTAGAAGTTACATTAGCGGTTTAATTAGCTCAAAGGAAAAATTTTATGAAATTGTCGTGCTCCAAGATTAAGTAAATTAATTCTTCAAATGAAAATATGAGTTGTTCTATGTTGCTTCGTTATTCCTACTATCCTTTTCATTTTCTATATTGTTAAACAATTGTTAATATGATATGGTAAAATGGAATATCTCCTTAAGTTTGTTACTGAGGAAAGGTCGTTGTATTTCAAGATATTATTACTGATTATTTTACATTTTTAAAATGGTATATTACATGGTACTTAAATTATTTTAGACTGCAGAATTAGACCGTCATTGATTCATTAAATTTTCTTTTATGAAGGCCATATTTTGATAAAATTAGTTTAAACATGTGTTTCCAACTAACATTTGCGATGACTTTTCAAATTTTTATCAATTACACACAAATCCTTTGTATGGAGTATTATTCTAATAAGAAAATCATGAAATTATCCTAATTTTTAAATTCGTAAATAGAACAGAGTAGAAGTGAAATGCAGTTTTTAAATAAATACTCTTATTTTAACAGAAATATGAACGATTTTAGAAATACAATTCGCTGTATTTTTATAATGGTCTATTTAAAAAAAAAAATTATTATATTTAACATACGCTATTTAAAATGGCATATAATTTTTTATTGTTAAACAATTCCAACCCTTAGAGATGTCCAGAAAACCAGTGCCATGAAAAGTTAGAATATTGTCGACCCAAAATTTCCTACGCCAAATTGAGAGTAGAAGGTTTTACTAGGTCTATGAGTGTCCAATTAAAAAGTGATCCTTAAAATTAAAATGTAATCTGAAATTTCCTTTTCACGGATTTTTTACTCTGTACCAAAAAGTAATCGCATATAATTTTTGAGCCAACAACAAGTAACAATACGTCTATGATTTACGATCGATTCGAGATAAATCAAAGATCGACAGCTTATCAGAAGAGCTTCTTAATTCGCTATCAATTAATCGACTAGTAGCAGGCTTCCCAGGCAACGAACGTAGTAATACTGTCTAGAGCGTAGCTTTCCGAACAAAGAAATAGCTGGGCGTGTCAAACGGAGTACCTGAATAGAACCTTACTGGATTATCTATACCGGGCATAAAATAGCTTTAATTCGATTACGTGTTATTGGATGCGAACACCGGTATTTCGTACGGCTTCACGATCAGTTTCTCACCTCTTCAAGACTACAAAACTTGCTACTGCAAAAGCGTTAGAATTTCCGTTGTGAAAAAGAATTTTACAGCCACTTCCGACAATGTGATAAGAAATAATTAACTAAAATTTATTTGCGTTAAGTGGGCAACAAATAACGGTAATAAAAATTTCGCAAATAATTCGTTTTCATAGTGAACCCAAGGTTACCTTGTGGTTTTTATATGTTAGGTCATTCCGTAAGTTCGTGCCGAAAGCGAAACATATAGGTATTAATGAAAATCCAAGGAAATTCTGTAGCGACGACATAATTGTCTAACCCAAAAATGAAAATAGGAAAAAGTTGTGGAAGGCGCTTACGTTTTTTTCTTATCAAATTTAAAGGTTTGTTGGAAATATTGATACAAATTATATAATTCGACACGAACTTATGGGATGACCTAATAGAACTATATAATTTCTTCTTTATTATATTCTAGGGAACATTAAGACTACTTGTGAACAATGTAAACATAGAACGTTTCTTCGTAACGATTGTAATTTTATAACGCTTTGGTGTAATAAGATCAACGAAGACTGAACATAAAAGAACCAAATATCCACATTCAAGATTCTGCAGCAGCGTAGAATGTTGTACTGCGAAAAGTGGTGTGCAACATGTGTTAATATAAAGCTTCGTTATCGCTATATGTTGCTCACATAAGACAGACAAAATTTTTGTTAATAACTATTTCTCATTGCATAATTTGAAATGGCTAGAAAATCGTGTGACGCGTTACAGCGAATACTCTGTGTATCCATAAATATTATTCGCTCGAAATTATCAATAGGGGTTTTTCCAATATCAGCGATCAATGAAATGAATTATCTCGAAATTATCACCTACGCTATTTCTCTTCAAGTCGCTCATTTCAAGAATGCAAAATCGCTAAATCCTTTCATCAGAGTTGCAACGAAAAACATCGCATGGCTGATTGAAAGAGATTCACGAAGGAGTGCTAGAACGTCGAAGGAAATCAGTAAAGCAAATTCGGGCACGCGTCCCACAACACAACGATCAGTGTGCAGGTGGTTGCAGCAGGGGTTCAGCCACGGGGCAATAATCCGGGGTAGTCCCTTGTTCGGTCGAGCAACTTCCAGCAGGTCAGAAGCTCACGTAGGCATTCAGTCGTTAGTTGCGCAACGTCTTGGACAACTGTCCCGACCCGTGGCACTCGCAATCCGGTGATTTTTCTCGGAAGCATAACCTTGGGCCCCGGGCGCATGATTTATATTGGACAGTAAATCATAAGCCGGAGGAGAGCCGCTCTCCAGCGGAGGTTAACGAGACCCTAGGTGCCGCGACAATGCGAAAATGGGTCGGAAGTCATAATTCACCTCGGAGGAGTAGCAGCAGCCAGCCTGCTTCCTGCTTGGAGGAGCATAAACATTTCACTTGGAAGAAACTACGAATTTGCCAGAAGGAACATGCTGATAAACGGTTCCTCTCCGACTTTCACGGGCCCGGGGAGCTAACGCCTCGCAACCTGGAAGACACTTCCTGTCGGGAGATCTTCGATCTCCACCGGCGAGCTTCCTTTACGGGTACCACTACGCCTTGTTGCACAGGCCTCAACCTATGGCTAATTTTTCCGCATACGTGAAACGCACGATGTTGGATTGATACCGACTTACGATCAGTTGGCGGATACGTAAGTTCCCAGAAATCTTCGGTTTCGAACCGAACCTGACTTGCAACATGTTTATAACACGAGGAGTTAAGATTTTTCCAGAAAAGCAGAATGGTTGTTGCATCCTTGTGGAGTACAAGGTCGCAAGACAAAGGAGGCCGATCGATAAAAGCACCAGCCGAAGAATCGTTGCGGGGGTCGTTGCTCTCTCGAGTCACGGCGCATCGGTGCCGAATACGAAAGGGATTCGTACTCGCAGTGACGGGGTCGAGTCTCGTTTAAATAAGTTAGCAGCGCGGTGCGGCGCGGCTCAGCGTGGCGGCGAGCGCGGAGCGGAGCGGTGGCAAGACAGAGGGAGGCAGGGGAGAGATAGAGGAGGAATGAGAAATGAACGGGCAAAGAGAGACGCCGAGGGAAATTGCACGTGGCGGGCCGCGATTGGCTCGCACCTGTCTCCTCGGACCGCCCTCCTTCAGCCGGGATCGCATGCCTGCGTACCTAATACGCTTTCTTACTCGTTGCATACGCGGCTGCTTGCACCGCGTGCATGTGGATGCACACTTTCTCACCGGGCCAAGGTGTTCGTGCCGTGTAATGAACCACCGCCGCCCGGTTTGCCTCCTCCGCCCCCCACTCCGACAACGATCCGTCGCAGTCGCCGGCGGAGTGGGGTACCGGAACAAAGTGGAGGGGTGCGGAAGGTTCTCTAGGCGAGACAAGGACAGACGATAGTACATATTATACTTTTGTACGGGTCGCGCGGGGACGGTGGGGGCGGCAGCGAGGCATTGCCGCGGTTGCACACGGTTAATCTATCTCCGGGTAGACACTAAAGCGCAAGATGGAAGTCTCCTTCCATTACGATTGCCATATTTGCAACTCCGAGCCCCCCTTTCAACACCCCGCTTGAGATCTTCGCGACCGGGTTCCCTTTGTTCGCGAGTGACTGCTGTCGGCTCGATGAATTACGGACGGCTCGTTTTTCTCTTCGCTGGGGGCTCGCTTTCTGGAACGGGATAGCATGCGACGCGATTCGCGGGAGGGGACGCATTTTACCGCGACCTCAAGTGCCGATTCCTTCACCCGTTTGGCTGCACAATATAATGGATAATCGGTTAGGCTTCGGTTGCAATCGCCCGTTAGGCTTGTTTTTTCTCAGCTTTTCCAATACGCTGTTGGAAGAACGATAGTTCGTCCTTTATTCGTTATACGTTTCGTTCTTACGCTCACTATTGAAATCACTTTGTCCTTTCCTTTTTTTCAGGCAAATTGTACGTGCGCTTTTGAAGAACACGTTTCGGTTTGATACAAATTGCGGTAATTAAAATACGGTGAAGCATAAGGTTTAATCGACTAGAATGCATTCATGAGATATATACAGATGTATAGCATCCTACAGCAGTTACAATATGGACTGCTGCTGCCATCTGTTCAATATCTCTTCCAAA